AATCATACTTATTATAAAACCCAGGTTGTGTGTGTGTGTATGTGTGTGTTCGTTTATATACTGGATCGGATTTCCTACATTTTTCAACCGATTTCGACAAAACTACACAGGACTTCGTAAAATTAAAATTGAGGGATTTTCATATGTAACTGAAGTGATTTGCATATGTAGCAGAAGTGTTTTGCTTATGTAAATCAAGAGATTTGCATATGTAACTGAAGTGATTTGCATATGTAGCAGAAGTGTTTTGCTTATGTAAATCAAGAGATTTGCATATGTAACTGAAGTGATTTGCATATGTAGCAGAAGTGATTTACATATGTAACTGAAGTGATTTTCATATGTAACTGAAGTGATTTGCATATGTAGAGGAGTGATTTGCATATGTAAATGAAGGGAATTGCATATGTTGTTGAAGTGATTTGCATATGTGGCAGAAGTGTTTTGCTTATATAAATCAAGGGATTTGCATATGCAACTGAAGTGATTTGCATTTGTAGAAGGTGTGATTTGCATATGTAAATGAAGTGATTTGCATATGTATTTTGAAGTGATTTGCATATGTAACAGAAGTGATTTACTCATGCAATTGAAGTGACTTGCATATGTCACTGAAGTGATTTGCCTATGTAAGTGATTTGCATATGTAAGTGATTTGCATGCGCAATTGATTTCGCTAACGGATGCAAAACTCGGTTTACCATTCTTACTTACTCCAACATGGCTCCCAGTAAAGATCTGCCACTTTTATTTGTTTTTCCTTTTTTAATAGTGTTTAAAAGGCTCAAGAACCACACAAAGTAGAGTATTAGTGAATGAGGGTCGTGTGTCAGCATAAGAATCATTAAGAAGTAGTGGCAGTTATATGCATATGGCGGAATACTGACGATTCAACTTTGACATAACGAAGTTATGCGTGCTGGAAAGCACTCACACGGGAGTCTTTTCCACAAAGCAACAGTTGTGCTGCCGAGGTCGGTCGCTAATCAACTGTTCACTGCAATAAAAAGAAAATCGAAGTCGAACAGGCTAATATTAATCGAATAATTTATTTTAATTAGTTTTTTTTTGTTGTTTTTAAACTCGAATAACTTTCCTATACACCTATAATAATATGGCAGAAAACCGAGATTAAAATGAAATTTCTACGTATACATAAAACTCGGGACCAACATTACATGAGCCACCTTGTTAGTTCCTCTTTTGGAACGCCCCAGGAGTCTGGAATTAACATTCTACTTCTACTAAAGCATAGGTAGAGCCTGGGAGACATGCTGCTGACGCTTCAGCACATTATCCGTCAATTTATCATGAGTTCTGGCTATCTTATGGAACAAACACCTTAGAGGAATCTACGCTGATGACGACGACTTTAACCTCTTCAAGTCTAATATCAATCATTATCTTTGCTACCTATCATCATGATCTGCACATCCTACCTCCGCTTCAGACGTCTATAAAACAACCATATTCAGTAAATCTCTATATTGAGGGGCTCAAATGTTTTGCGTGTGAAATAGGAGAAAATGAAGTCGAACAAACTAATATTAATCGAATTATATATCTATATTTTTTTTTGTCGAATAACTTTCCTAAAATGATGTGCTTGTGAGAAACATTAATTGTGTTTATCATTGGTATCGTCTCGGGTCTGGAAAGAAAGCATGTCATGTTTAAAATGGCTAATTACGAACTTAATTTAAAAGGTAATTATTTCACATTTATTGAAAGAAATAGAAAAACAAACACGTCGCAGCTCGCAGCGTTGCCGTCTTTCACAAAGAATGAAATATGCTTAGTGATTCCATTTACCACGTTTCTTTGAGAATCTTCATGTTATTGAATAATATTTCATGCCTATTGACATGTCATCTCTGACTTAATTAGTTGACGTGAGTCGAGATGAGAAAGCAATTTCGGAATTAGCGTGATTAATGTAACCATTAACTGAATTTTCTTAGATAAGACGTTATATTGTTGTTCTATTCTTTCGCATATACGGTCTTTACGCTTAGCAAACAGGAATGGACCCGCTAAGCGTTGTTCAACCACTAACGTTGGAAAGTCAGTATTGCCGGCATATCTTTTGTCTTTATATGACCCAGATCTTTTTCTTTTTTTTCTTTTTCATTCCTTCATTCATTTTTTCTTTCTTTCTAAACTTTTTTTTTCGATATTTTCTGATTTTCTGTTCTGTTCAGTTGATTCATTATTTTTGATCTTCACCACCCATTTTCTATCTTTCTTCCTTCTCTCATTTTCTCTTTTTCTCACTTTCATTCTCTCCTTTTCTTTTGTTCTGTACTCATTACTCTCTTTCTTTCTTTTCTCTTTCTTTCATTAGTCCCTTCGTTATTTATTTATTTATTTATTTATTTATTCAGATTCCTTTCTGTTATTCTCATATTCTTTCTTTCTTTCTTTCTTTCTTTCTTTCTTTCTTTCTTTCTTTCTTTCTTTCTCCAGATTCCTTTCATGTCTTCTTTGTTTGTCTTTTTTGTTCTTTCTTTCTCCAGATTCCTTTCCATTATTCTTTCTTTCTTTCTTTCTTTCTTTCTTTCTTTCTTTCTTTCCATTCCTTTCTTCTATTCCCATGTCTTTCTTGCTTTCTTTTTCCATTTTTTCTTTCTTACTCTCTTTTCCCTCTCTTTCTTTCTTTTCACTATGCTTTTCCATACTTTACTGTCTATCACTTCTTACTGCTTTATCAACGCTGTCAAAATTACAGCGAATTCAGTGTGCGATGGATAATTTGTCGTCTAAATTATGCAAAAATAAAATAACAGTTGCAACTATCGGCTTATTCGCCTTTTACTCCTTTTTAGCAAACTACTAGAGGTTCAGAATTATTTAAGCATCCCACAATGAAAGGCCTCTTCCAGACAAGCAATACGTCTTTTATTTATTTAGGTCAACTGCTGATGTATTAAATATTATTGCGAAAATAATCTATCAAGCTTTAGTTAAAAATGGTCAAGCTCTGTCTGTTGATTTGGACATCTCGAAGGCGGTCGACAGGGTTTTTCTATACTGGTCTTCTTGACACGTTGAAGTGACTCTGGACGAATTTTTGAACTGCTTGAATCTTTCTTATGAAATCGTAAAATGAAAGTTGCCCTGAACAGGCACTCTTACAGATCTTTTTTTTTATAATAATGAAGGTTTCGTCTAGGACTCTATCCTTGGCTTCACTTTCTTTTTTTAAATTTTCATTAACAAACTTTCTGATGACATCAGCACTCAATTTGGTATCTATGCTGATGATACAATCATTTACTCCTATCTTGATACTCTGACCATTTCTATAAGGTCTAATTGGCAGCTGATCTTAAAAACGACCTACAGTCTGTTGTTAAGTGGGGCAAGAAATGGCTTGTTAATTTAAACGCCTTTAAGATTAAACTGCCGATCCCTTTGTGCCTTCTATCAGCATGGTTGATGCCAACACCCAGGAGAATGCCTCGTTGTGTCTTCTCAGTCTAATATTTGAGACTGACATGAAGAGGAGAGACTACATTGAATTCATTGCTAGGTCAATTGTTATGAAAGTTAGCTCGCTATATTGTGCTGGAGAATTTTACTCTCCAGAATCTATCATACATTTATAGAAATCTACCATTCATCCATGCTTTCAATATTGTTGCTTATTTGTTTCGGTGTTGCTGCTATTTATTTAGAGATTCTTGATAAAACAAAAGAAGAATCTGCAATATTATAAGTCCTGACCTGGTGTCTTCGCTTCAATCCTTTTCCCACGGCAGTACTAGATTGGCAGCTAGGTCTCACATGTTCAGAGTTAAATTGTCTACATCTAAGTTCTTTGCAAACAGTTTCTTTCTATCGTAGAAGAAAAGGAAAAAAATACTGGAAAGAAAGAAAGAAAGAAAGAATACAGAGATATAGAAAGAAACAGTGGGAAAAGAAAGGAAGGAAAGAAGGAAGGAAGGAAGGAAGGAAGGAAGGAAGGAAGGAAGGAAGGAAGGAAGGAAGGAAGACAGAAATATTGAAAGAAAGAGTAAAGCAAGAAAAAGAGAAAGAACGTGTCGAGTATAGATTGAATAATAGAAGGCATTGGAAAAGTAAAGAAAGAAAGAAAGAAAGAAAGAAAGAAAGAAAGAAAGAAAGAGAGAAAGAAAGAATAAATTTAATAACAGAAAGCTTTGCAAAAGCAAAGAAAGAAAGAGAGAAAAAAAGAATGGAGGAAGGAAGTTAGGAAGGAATAGAGAAAGAAAGAGTAAGGAAAGAAAAAGTGAAAGAACGTGTCGAGTATAGATTGAATAATAAAATGCGTTGGAAAAGTCACAAAAGAAAGAAAGAAAGAAAGAAAGAAAGAAAGAAAGAAAGAAAAAATAGATTAAATAAGAGAAAGCTTTGGAAAAGCAAAGAAAGAAAGAAAGAAAGAACGAAAGAAAGAAAGAAAGAAAAAAAGAAAGAAAGAAAGAAAGAAAGAAGGAAGTTAAGAAGGAAGAAAGAGATATAGAAAGAAAGAGAAACGAAAGGAAAAGAGAAAGAACGTAAATAAGTATAGATTAAATAATAGAAAGCGTTGGAAATGTAACGAAAGAAAGAAAGAAAAAGAAAGAAAGAAAGAAAAAAAGAAAGAAAGAAAGAAAGAAAGAAAGAGGGAAGTTAAGAAGGAAGAAAGAGATATAGAAAGAAAGAGAAACGAAAGGAAAAGAGAAAGAACGTGTCGAGTATAGATTAAATAATAGAAAGCGTTGGAAATGTAACGAAAGAAAGAAAGAAAGAAAGAAAGAAAGAAAGAAAGAAAGAAAGAAAGAAAGAAAGAAAGAAAGAAAAAATAGATTAAATAAGAGAAAGTTTTGGAAAAGCAAAGAAAGAAAGAAAGAAAGAACGAAAGAAAGAAAGAAAGAAAGAAAGAAAGAAAGAAAGAAAGAGGGAAGTTAAGAAGGAAGAAAGAGATATAGAAAGAAAGAGAAACGAAAGGAAAAGAGAAAGAACGTGTCGAGTATAGATTAAATAATAGAAAGCGTTGGAAATTAACGAAAGAAAGAAAAAAAAAGAAAGAAATAAAAGAAAAAAAAAGAAAGAAAGAAAGAAAGAAAAAAAAAAAAATAGATTAAATAAGAGAAAGCTTTGGAAAAGCAAAGAAAGAAAGAAAGAAAAAACGAAAGAATTAAAAAGAAAAGAAAGAAAGAAAAAGAAAGAAAAGAAAAGAAAGGGAATTTAAGAAGGAAGAAAGAGATATAGAAGAAAAGAGAAACGAAAGGAAAAGAGAAAGAAGATGTCGAATTATAGATTAAATAATAGAAAAATACGCTTTGTAACGAAAGAAAGAAAGAAAGAAAAGAAAGAAAGAAAGAAAGAAAGAAAGAAAGAAAGAAAAGAAAGAAAAAAAATAGAAAAAATAAGAAAAAGTTTTGGAAATCTTAAAAAAAAAAAGAAAGAAAGAAAGAAAGAAAGAAAGAAAGAAAGAAAAGAAAGAAAGAAAAGAAAGAATAAGTTAAGAAGGAAGAAAAGAGAGATATAGAAACATTTAAAAGAGAAACGAAAAAAAAGAGAAAGAACGTGTCAAGTATAGATTAAATAATATAAAGCGTTGGAAATGAAACGAAAGAAAGAAACGAAAAGAAAGAAAGAAAGAAAAAAGAAAGAAAGAATTCTTTAAAGAAAGAAAGAAAAAAAAAAAAAATTAAATTAAAGAGAAAGCATTGGAAAAGTAAATAAAAGAAAGAAAGAAACAATGTAAATAAGGTATTTTAAAATTGTTAAAAAAAAATCTATTAAATATGGCTGATGATACTAACCTCCATGTTCGTAACTTTTTGCGCCTTCCCAAGTCTTTCATTCCCGACTGACATGAAGTTGAAAGATTATATTGAATGCATTACTAAGTCAGCTGCTAAGAAAGTTTTATTGTCTGTGTCATGCTATACAATTTTCCTCTCCTGAATCTATCTTACATATTTATGAGTCTACCATTTGTCTATGGTTTGAATATTGCTGCTACACAAGGTACATCAATATTATTGTTACTGACTTGTCATCATGATTTCAGCCATTTTCCAACCGCCGTAACGTAGCTCCCTTGTGTCTTTTCTCGAAATACTTTCATGGTAAATGTTCGGATGATTTCTTCGCTATGGTACTTAGTTTTTAGGAATTTAAACTCAGTACTCGATAGGCGGCAAGGTCTCATTTATTCAAACTTAAATTGGTAGATCTAAATGTTAAGTTCTATGTTAGCAGTTTTTCTTTCTCGATTGTGGAACTCTTTTTCTGACTCCTTGTTTCGATCTTCAAAAATAAAAATGCAATGTCAACAGCTATCTACTGTTTTCCTGATTACCTTTCTATTAGTCTCGCTCCTTCATAATGTATTTTGCTTTCTAATTTTTTTTCCCCACTGAGTAACGACTGCCTTGTCTTGGAGTAAATTCGATTAAAAACAAAATTTAAATATAAAAACTTTGTACAGTATTTACATTAGTCGGACTATTGTCCTCATCTTTGTCGCCATATTTGTCACAACGTTTCAGCCGTTGTACGCTCCGGCCTTCTTCAGGTGGTTGGAATTTCGAACTGAACATTTTATTTCGATCACTGGAAAAAGACTGTTCTAGTTCCACGTGCCATGTTTGATGGATGTCAGTTATCAGTTATCTCCTGCTAATTTTCCCTCTGAAAGTTCTCCACTGCCTTAACCAGGAATTGAACTCACCTTCTTTTGGGTCTGTCACTGGATCTATCAAGGCCTTTATCCACTGTGCCATGTGTCCATGGCACAGTGGATCCAACATGAATCCATCAAACATGGCACGTGGAACTAAAAACAGTCTACCCCAGTGATCGAAATAAAGGTTTCAGTTCGAAATTCCAACCACCTGAAGACGGCCGGAGCGTACAACGGCCGAAACGTTGTGACAAATATGGCGACAAAGATGAGGACAATAGGCCAACTAATGTAAATACTGTACAGAATACCTCATCTCAGAAATATAGACAGACTCTAAAAACTTTCTAACAATTGCCGCCATTTTTTATAGCACGGTTACACTAGTAAATTAAAAATAATTCTTAGTCCCAGAAATTCAGATTGAAATGAAATGTTTTGTCTTTACTTTTCTTATTCAAATATGGTTATATGATTAACTTTAAGTTCACTGGTTAGTCTCTGTGGAAAAATCCGTAAGGTATCGTCCCGTTTCAAGGGTTTTCTAAAGTTACCGGATACGAGTTTAAATCCTAATGCTTCCTTTTATCGATTTGTTAACGGAGTAATTAGACGGTACATCATGGAATGCCACGAGTTTGGCATCAAATTTAACACGGATAAACGTGAAGTGTCCGAAGTGTTCAGCGGAACATTTTTTCAGAGTAGGAAGAATGGAAGAGGTCTATAAGACGTGCTTGTTGTCCTGTTCTAGCGGGAATACGAGTGCGCTTATCGTTGATCTTCGTCCGTTCGCATGCAAGGGAGAAGTCCCGGCAGGATCTGCCTTCTTCATTGATTTTGTTCGAGTATACTAAACATAATTTGTAGAGAATATTATAGCCGCCATAAATATGAATGTCTGCTGAAGGATAGCCAGAGAGAAGCTTAACAACCTTCAGCTATTTTCTTGCACATTACAGCCCTGTCACCTGTGGACGACAATTAGTGAAGACAAAAGATCTACTGTGAAAAGGTGCCACGCGGAAGTAATTAACGAAAATCAGGGTCCGTTTTTTTCTCTTTTTTTAGGTCTCTATCTGTTATGGTCCGGTTCTTTGTACCACGGTGATAGTCCAAGGTAGAACCAATAAAGAAGAACTCGAACACAGATATGGAATAACACAGATATATTACAAACAGGAATATATACAGAGAGGAAGAAAAAGTGTTAGTACGAACAATCAGGTTTAGTAGTCATTGTCTGAACGCGACTCTGTTTCGGACTGCCTCTGAATTGACTGACTGACTCGCTAGCTCTGACTGACTGACAGACTCCTGACTGACTTCACACCCAGAATGCAGACTGAACGGTATTTAGTCACCCCCCCACGAGGACATCATGTGGCACAAGGCCGGTTTAACGTGAGATCACCGAGCCCGTGGGCTCGGCCAAAAATATGCCTTTTGAACCCGTATAAACGGGTTTAGGGTCGGTTTACCTCCCCGAAAGAGAATCCGCCCTTCGGCGTAGCCTCGTTTGGGTTACTCCCCGCCCGAAGCCTGGGAGTTCAACCGATCAGCCGGTCAGCCGGTCGCCCGACTTCGGACTGAACTCCCTGCTTCCTCTTGAGGCGCAGTATTTATTACGTATGGAATAGTCCATTATTTTATTATGGGTAAGGTCCCATAACACTATCCGAGCTTTTTTTAGACACTGAATCCATGACCGAGGCGATTTCGGTGGTCAAGCATAACTATTAGTTGGTAGGAGCAGGGAGTCGCGAGTTATTTCACTGGGGAAGATTAATGGATAGCAGTTTCACAAAGGGACAAGACGTCAGGTTTCACCTCGAGAAGATGAGAGGTAGAACATTGACCGTCTCATATTCAGAAGTTACTCTAAGATTCGGATCCCTAAAGTGAGATTATTAACTTTCAAATGCTGTTAGTAAATCTCTAGACAGCATGGCTCTTCTGCGTTAAATAGATTAAACACAAGAAAAAAAAATAACAGGCCTGCACTTATTTATATATATATATATATATATATATATATATATATATATATATATAATGGACTCTCCCATCGGTTTCAAGTATGTTGTGCAGTTCAATTTACATTACATGAATCATTCATACAAAAACAGATATAGAAGTTAATGATTTAAATGGCGAGAATACATCTTCGCAACCAAATTTAATAAATTACATTAACCCCGAACCTTTAGATGAATTTTAGATAAATCCTTTTTATAAATTATTTTTGTTATATATATTGATATACCTACTTGATATTAAAATAACTGATCCGACGTGCAGTTTTTTCGGATAATAATTTTGATATATTTATTTATAGAACAATTTAGTTCATGCCACATTGACTGAAAAACCTACCAGTAAAAAAGAATTCTCCTATTACCATATTTTTACAAAAACGCACAATTTTAAAATTTTGAAAAATTCAACCAAAATTTGCGACCATAGCACGTTCCAAAAAAATTTCTTACAATGAACAATAACACATTTCTTAAAACATATTTCGGATTAAAATTATTCTTTCATTGTCCTGTTATTATTCGAGAAGTAAAAAACAAGAACAAATCTATTTTCAATGTACCTGAGGATGTCTGTATGAACAGACGAATTGTAAAAAACAAAAAAAAAAAAAGATACTTATGTAACTGAATTTATAAAGAAGGATCATAACATTCATCTACAGGTTATGGGGTTAATGTAATTTATTAAATTTGTTTGCGAAGATGTATTCTCGCCATTTATATCATTAACAATTTATATCTGTTTTTTGTATGAATGATTCATGTAATATAAATTAAAATTGCACCATTAATGAGGAAATATATCTGATATATATATATATATATATATATATATATATATATATATATATATATATATATATATAAAAAATTGTTACTGGTAACAAGGCCTTCACCACTATAAACAAATCTCATGTTTTGATTGTCGGGACGTCGGTTTGATTGGGAACTTCCCGAAGAGAAGGCCTGATTATTCATACGTCGAACGCGACAGGAGAGTCGATATATATATATATATATATATATATATATATATATATATATATATATGTATGTGTGTGTGTGTGTATTTGTGTGTGTGTGTTGTGTGTGTGTGTGTTTGTGTGTGTGTGTGTGATATGTGTCCGTTTTAATTATGCAGAAAAATCTGGGAACAACATGGATGAGAAATAATCCTGAGTTGTTTAGCATTTTTGATTTTTTTTATTTTTGATTCCATACATACGGTTTAAGTAGAGTTTATGTTATAATTTTTTTTAGCGAAGGAATCATATTTTTAAATATATATATATATATATATATATATATATATATATATATATATATATATATATATATATAAAAACGATGTAAAAAAAAAAAAGATTAGATAGAGCTGTCTTGGAAAATATATTAATTTTAAATCTTCTTACCAATAACTGCAATCATTTTTTGTACTGACATCTACGGTGTATAAAAAATATAGAGTGCTTTGCTCGGAAGTTTCTATTCCAAACTAATCTTTCGATGATGGAGTTTCTATGATTGATTAAAATTTTTAAAAACGGAGGCTTTATGAGTAATATACGCATAACTTTTTCACTGGTTTAAAGACCACATTTCCAAATTAGATCCACACAGGAAAAATTCAGAAAAGGATGGGAAAAAATCTCGTATATATATAATATATATATATATATATATATATATATATATATATATATATATGAAGGTTCTAGCTCCTCCTGTTATTTCCAACATGACAACAATCGCCCCTTCCTTTAGATTTTCCGGCTTGTTGAATGACCTACTCTATAGTTTCTGTTTTTAAGGACTCTGGAGAATACACTGGCCCATTAAAATATCGCCCTATTATTTTCAGACCGCTTTTCGGCAAAGTATTCGAGGTACACTGGGCCTTCTTGGCCTCACGTTTTCCGCTGACTTCACGAGGAGCGATCCTATCGAATAAATAGCTGCATCTACCGTGACATGCGAGTTTTTTTGTTTTTTTTTCCTCTTGCGCATTTACAAATCTAAGCGGCTCGGATAGCGGTTCGAATTCCAGTCGAATCTATTATAAATAAATTTTTTGCTAATACATTTAGAAAGCATGAAAAATTAGAAGAAAGTAAGATAAGAGACACGGTAGAGCAATGGATTGCAAAAAGGAAAGGAATCGGAGAGCCGAGTTCGAATTCCAGACGAGTTCATTATATTCATTAAATTAACGTGCTAATACCGTTGGGAAACCTTAAAATGATTCCATTTTTTCTGGTCTGAAGAGGAACGGTGGAATAATGGATTGCAAAAATATATTTGAGGAATCAGAGAGCCGAGTTCGAATTCCAGTCGAGTTCATTACATTCACTTACGATAAAACAAAACCCTTGGGAAATATGAATCTAACTCTTCTAATCTCAAGAGACACGGTGGAGTAATAAATTACGGCTCATATTGAGGAATCGGAGAGCTGATTTCGAATTCCAGTCGAGTTCATTACATTAGATGATAATACGTGCTTGGGAAAGTTAAGAATCCTCTTCTCTAACCTCCCCAGCCGTCAGCTATGGTTACATAGCAGGATAGATCGGGTTCTATAGCCTTGGATGACAACTGGTCTTCAGCAGAAAGAAATGGCAACCTACCTCGGGGAAACAAAAATCTGCCTCGTCAGTCATGTATGGAAAGATACATGATTGCGTAAGTGTGTATCACGTCCAATTGGCCACGGTTCGGTGAATTGATTGGTGACATTTTTAAAATGACTAAAATAATTTTATTTATATATAATATTTTTTTAATGCAGATTGGCTTAAATAAAGCTAAAACTTCAAGATTCCCATTGATTTGAAGCGTAGCGACTATATCGAATCAATAGCTGCATCTACTGCAAGGGAAGTTGGTTCACTGTCGTGCTAGAAGGTTTTTCTTTTCAAATACAGAATTCATCTTGCACATTTTAGATGTGGCATCAGGCCGAAAGTATGGGGCACCCAGTGAGGATCGAACTCACTATTCAGTCGTAATTTCGAGTTAGCGAGACAAAATATAACCATTACACAGTCTCGAGGTGCCCGACAGAAATTGATGTATATTTGTATACGAAGGAAGCATGGTGGAGTGCATGGTGGATTGGGTGGGTATTAGCCTAACTAGACTATGCATAAAGAAATGGCAAACAATGGAAAAAATCTGTATTCGTCAGTCATGTATTGAACGATACATGATCAAATTTTATGTATCACGCATGATGACATAATTGACTTATATTCATTTGCGTGCTAATAAACTTAGGAAAGATATGAATCCGTTTTTATTAATCCACCCCCAAATTTAATTAAATAGCAGGAGAGACCGAGTTCTATAGCCTAAATTGGCAAACATTGAAACAAACAGCAGAATGAAATGGCAATATTAATTTGCGGGAAAAAATCAGATTTTAAATTTTGATATATCATGTATCGAAAGATACATGATCGCTCAAATTATGTATCACGTATGAACATAAGTGACTGATTGATCCGAAGATAATCAAAAATAAACATATCAAAATAACGTAGACACAACATTGTCATAATTAGTAATAATAGTCAGATAGATAACCATTACTTATCATGTCCAAGTGGTCACGGTTGGATGAATTTATGGGTGACATTTTTAAAATGATTAAAATAATTGAAACAGATAGATAGATAGATAGATAGATAGATAGATAGATAGATAGATAGATAGATAGATAGATGGATAGGAACTGGCGGATTCAGATAGATAGATAGATAGGTACGAACTGATTGAAACAGACAAACCGACAGACAGACATACAGACAGACAGATAGATAGATAGATAGATAGGAACTGATTGAAACAGATAGATAGATAGATAGATAGATAGATAGATAGATAGATATGAACTTATTGAGATAGATAGATAAGTCGATACATCAGGAACTGACTCATTTACATAGAAGATAGATAGATAGATTAGATAGATAGATAGATAGATAGATAGATAGATAGATTGATTTATTTATATATATATATAGATAGATAGATAGATAGATAGAAGATAGATAGATAGATAGATAGATAGATACAAACTGATTGAAACAGATAGATAGATAGATAGATAGATAGATAGATAGATAGATAGATAGATATGAACTTATTGAGATAGATAGATAAGTCGATACATAGGAACTGACTCATTTACATAGATAGATATATAGATAGATAGATAGATAGATAGATAGATAGGAACTGATTGAAACAAACAGACAGACAGCCAGATAGATAGATAGATAGATAGATAGATAGATAGATAGATAGGAACTGACTGATTTAGATAGATAGACACTATGTAATTGAAATACAGAGATAGATATGTATATATGAACAGATACGGAAAACGAGAGAGAGAGAGAGAGAGAGAGAGAGAGAACTGGAAAGATGTGAAGTGAAATAAAATAAATCAATTTGTTTTCCCTCTATATTTCTTGAACATCAAGAAGAATAAAAAAGAAAAAAAAACGATTTGATTCAATCGAAATGTTTCAATTCAAACCATTCCGATTGCAACAGATTTGACAATACATTGACATGAAGCATTTAATAGTCCGATTCTCTCAGCATTTTTAACATGAATAACCTGTCCACTTGACAATAGCATTCTTCCTGATTTTCAAAACATTATATTCTATTATAGAATACTTTAAAAGTCATATTTTATTGCCGAATCATTTGTAACGCATTATTTTGTTAAATCATGAATTGCCTCTGAAAAGAACTGTCAAAATGCTAACACATATCGGGCCCAGACACAGTCGACGTTAACATAATGACGTGAATTCTTTCAAATATTCGCTGACTGTCAGTATTTACGTCACAATATAATTGTAAACTTTCGAGTGAATAATCACGGCAAGTTTTGATATGGCGGGTGATGTTAGCAGAGCAGCAATAATAATAATAATAATAATAATAATAATAATAATGATTTTGTATCAGGTTGCACTATATGTGCACCCACTGAATATGAAGCCCGTCATGACAGAGTGGACCAATATCTGCACTGGAAAATCCGTAACTTCTACGGGAAGGAAACCGAAAGAAATTGTATCTATATTTCTGAGAAGAGGTATTATGTACATTATTTACATTATTCGGACTATTGTCCTCATCTTTGTCGCCATATTTATTACAACGTTTCGACCTTTTAGTATCTGTCTATATTTCTGAGATGAGGTATTATATACACTATTTACATTATTCAGACTATTGTCCTCATCTTTGTCGCCATATTTATTACGTTTCGGCCTTTCAGTATCTGTCTATATTTCTGAGATGAGGTATTATGTACACTATTTACATTATTCAGACTATTGTCCTCATCTTTGTCGCCATATTTATTACAACGTTTCGACCTTTTAGTATCTGTCTATATTTCTGAGATGAGGTATTATATACACTATTTACATTATTCAGACTATTGTCCTCATCTTTGTCGCCATATTTATTACAACGTTTCGGCCTTTCAGTATCTGTCTATATTTCTGAGATGAGGTATTATGTACACTATTTACATTATTCGGACTATTGTCCTCATCTTTGTCGCCATATTTATTACAACGCTTCGGCCGTTGTACGCTCCGGCCTTCTTCAGGTGGTTGGAATGTCGAACTGAACCCTTTATTTCGCTCACTGGGGTAGACTGTTCTAGTTCCACGTGCCATTTTTTTTAATGGATGTTTTTTCAGTTATCTCCTGTTAATTTCACATTGAAAGTTCTCAATATAAAGGATGAATTTTTTGGTTTGAATTAGGACACTCTTTGGGTCCTGTCACTGGATCTAATTAACTGGTGTAAAAACTGGCTGAAAACAGTAGGTTTATAATACCCAGAAATTCGTACACATGTTTCCTCAAGGACACATGGCACAGTCGATAAAGGCGTTGGTTAAATCCAGTGACAGGACCCAAATAGCGTGAGTTCAATACCCGGCTAAGGCTGTGGAGAACTTTCAGAGGGAAATCAACAGGAAATAACTGACATGGAAGATTGAAGTTTATAATCAGTAAATTCAACCTTGCCAACCGAACGATCCTTTGTGGCCGAGCGGTCAAGGCACGTCAGCGTAAATGACGGTTCCGTATAGGATGCAGGTTCGAATCCTGTCAAAGGACGAATATTTTCTATGAAAATTTCTCGGACATTCAGACCAGCAAATGTTATTTAATACTGTTTATTATAAAACGGAACATTTACTTAAATACTTGTATCTATAAAAAGAACGTTAAACATAAAAATGTCTTTAATAATTAAATTGTCGGACTTTGTCCATTTCTTAATATATATATATATAAGGACAATATGAATAAAGGCAAAATGAAAACTTAAGCGAGATGATTGCGTTTCGTCCACTGATGGTAAATGTAAGTGAGTTTAATTTTTTTCTAACAAGTATTTGTAACCACATTTCTTACGTCTCTTTATAAATGCTTGTTGCAAAGTAAATTCCATACATTTTCCCTTTTGTCTTTATTATATATATATATATATATATATATATATATATATATATATATATATAATATATAATATATTATGAGCGCTTCGCCTTGGAGCGGGTAGAATGGAGATCAACCTGTTTTAGTGGACTCAGAAATTTTCAATCTGCTTCCCTGAATCATCTTGAAGAAGCGAGAGCAAGATCTAAAATGCCAGTCATACTAACAGTGATCTCATCTCACAATCCTCACTCTTGCTCCATAAGTGGACTCCTTTGTAAGCGGGTCTTAAATGCCCCTTAAGATAATCGCACAAAATTTCATAATTGAATCAAATAAGCTGTCAGATCCTCATAACTCGAAACCGACGGGAGAGTATATTATATATATATATATATATATATAGAAAGAGAGAGAGAGAGAGGTAACTATACTCGTTTTGAAAAACCTTCGAAATTTTGATTTGCCAATAATCAAATCAATCACGAAGGAAAAAAAGTTTTAAAAAAAAAGAAAGAGCTAGAAACATGAAAGTCTGTAAAAAAAATCGCACAGATACAGGTTTAAAGCCCAAAAAAAAAACCCGTCACGAGTAAACAAATAAATAAAAGTGTCTCAATACAACGTAGAGCAGACCTAGATAAACCATGAGCCAGACAAACCTACCCAGGTTTCACATAGGATTTAAAGGGAAAATATATATATATATATATATATATATATATATATATATATATATATATATATATATATATATATATGTGTGTGTGTGTGTGTGTGTGTGTGTGTGTGAATATATCGAGGCCGTTATTGGTCTGTAAGGATTGTCATGTTTGAAACAAGATATTGTAAGTGTTGTTTTTTTTTTTAAATGCTACTAAAAATGGCGGCTTCATCTCGATCAATTTTTTTCTTAGGTCCCAGACAATGTCGCTGAAGAAGTCGATGTCTCAATCAAATTAAGGAAGACACTTTAATTAATTTATCCTCCATACGCTGGAACACTTCGCCCGAAAAGCCAGAAAATCTTTCATGCGGGACACATTAAGTAGGCGCGTCAAGAAGTGTCTCAAGATTATTCATGTCAATTTTGGTTCTGAAATAAAGATCTTCTCTCAGGACTGATGCTTCTTTTACTAATTTCCCTGCAAATGTCCTCAAAAGTCTGAGAATCCCTGTATTATGGAAGAGGGCCGTTTTTTTTTAAGTGGGAACCAAAATAGATTCAGCATTAACAATAACTTTCTTCATTCATTATTCTTGCTACAACAGTCTTCAAACTAAGAGAGTGATATGCATGTTGTCCCTACCAAAACTGACATCATATGGTAGTCTAGTAACAGGGTCTATACGCGCCCAAATGATCACTACTTTTACAGGAAAAAAAACTGAAAGAGAATGGTATGAACGTCATCCAGACCCGGTTACAGAGATAGGATATAGACTCATTGTGAACTCCGCTAATCTTTCGTCTTAATAATAACAAAAACAGCAGCAGCAGCAGCAACAACAACAATAATTATAATTATCTTCATATATATATATATATATATATATATATATATATATATATATATATATATTACATTCATTTACGTGCTAATACCCTTGGGAAAGGTATGAATCTTCTTCTTCTCCCTCCAGCTATGGATAAATAGCAGGACAGACTGGGTTCTATAGCCTTGGATGGCAATTTTGGCCTAGGAGAAGGACAACTCTGAATTGAAAAACCTGCAGAGGGTCGTTTGGGGAACATTGTGGCATTCGGTGCACCAGGTTTCTGTATTCGTCCCTTCAAAAAGTGTGGATGGTCCTGCACGAAACCTTCACCACTATAATCAAATCTCATGTGCCGGTGTTGGGCTGTCGGTTTCCTGGAAACTGATTGCTTGACCCTCATACGTCGAATTCGACGGGAAAGTCGACTATATATATATATATATATATATATATATATATATATATATATATATATATATATATTAGTATAGTTAGTTAGTTTATGAAAAACTAGGTAATCCGTATAGGTAAACCCAAGCAGGATAAAATCCAGAGAGCTCAATGTAAATCCAGAGCAAATAATTTAAATAAAAACGGACCACTTTAAGGTTCCATGTAATAAATTATTTCACCACAGCCCTTTTAAAGGGCTGCGGATCATCAGACTTTACTTCCAAACAAAAAATGAAAAAAAAACTTTACACATTTTTGACGAGCCGTATTAAACATATGTAAATTAACGAAGTGAGGAAGTGGGTGGGGGAGAGAGAGTAGACATGAGTGAGTTAGATGTAATTTAAAATTTCTATTCTTTCATACTTAAAATTACTTGAGGAGGCCTAGACATTGACACATAAACGGTTAACTTAACGGAAGTTATATATTGATATCGAAGGGGTAGAGGAGAAAAAAACATAAAAAGTAAAAGGGAGGAGGAATCATGAGAGAAGGTGTCACTAATTTTCTTTGGAAAAATAAAAACGGCTAGAAAAAAAAAAAATATATATATATATATATATATATATATATATATATATATAGAGAGAGAGAGAGAGAGAGAGAGAGAGAAAACTAAAAGCTAATCTATACTATCGCGAATCGTCCTATGATGGACTTTATCAAAGCAAATGCAAAAATTTTATTTTGCAAAAAGAATTTATAACTTCTTTTTTTTTTATATATGTTTGTAAATGCTTGTTTCAAAATAAAATCTATGCATTTCCTTTTTCCTTATATATATTGTAAACTGTATATTGTATTTACTTATTTAAAAATATGGTTCCATCGCATTTTGGAATAACTCATTTTGATATTTACTGAGTTTTATAAGCACATACATTCATCATATTAATTTCTATGAATACGCGGAAATCCAATCATTTTTACAAGGGGTGGTAGGGTATTCATTTTCACTAATAACTATTGTATCAAAAATTATGAGTTACTTTAGAAAATAGGTTATGTCAATATAGGGTAGGTGTGCCTTTTCAAACGAATGAAAATAACTCATAATTTTTTATACAAAATTAATATATCGAAACTTACATTGGTCTGTAAGGT